GTGCCACTTTCCAACAGCCCATTTGGAACACGAACATTTTCAGGCAGATCAAGAAAGTCTTGAAGCCGATCTATACACCAAGAAACGTCCTTCTTTTCCTGTGGATGATTAAACAAAGCTGTGGACTGATCTGAATACAAAGAATCGATTGATGGCAAAGATGCTGCATCCCTTGAAGGCTGACAAATAAATGCAGGACTTTGAGAATGTCGATCATGTGCTAGCGCTGAGGCAAACATATCATTGTTGGCTATGGAAGGGGATGAAAACGAATTCCCAAGGGTTCTGTTGCAGGGAGCTAATGAAGATTCTTGAGGAGATACAGAGTTCTTCATCACTTTCCTCCCTGAGGAAACCTGAAAAGAATCAGGCAATTTGGGATATTTCTCTTTGAAAGGAGTAGGAAGAGCTGGAAAAGATGAGGACATAGCAGCAGAGATCTGAGTCCCTGATTCTTAGCTGTTTCGTACCTAAATATCAACAACCTGAATAAACAGCAAGATGCTTGTTAATTCATATATCAAGAAACTCATTCACTGACTCTAAACTTGCGTTGTGGGTATATTCTTCAAATAAATTGTTGGCTATAATTTAAAGGAAGGAAAAATGAATGAGACTTCTCCTTAAGCTAATACCTTTCTAAGTGCTTTGAGCTTTATTTTTGACTCCTTATGCATTCAATTCACCAGCCAAGAAGTGGTGAGATTGGTATTCTAAAAGAAGAAAGTCCAAAGAACTGCAATTAGACAGAGAAGAAGACAGTAGAGCCAGAACATCACCAGAAATTTAACAGACTCGGCATGTGATTGACATGTAAACCATGTTAACATGGAAAATTTGTCCATATGATATTTATTTCATACAATTTCCTACAGATTTTACATTCCTAGTTCACGAGAGACAAGTATTCCCTTGATAACATAGGAAGCGGGACAAACACATGACTCTATATATTTGTCTGACAAAACTAAAAAAAAAAGTATAACCATTTTTGTCTGCTGATCATGATCCATGAACTACAAATAATGATGACATGACCATTACAAAATGATATCTATTACTTAAAAAATAGATGAGTAAAAGCATCGTGTAAGTATCACAGTAGTTTCACTTCCCCCTAACCCAAAAAGAAACCATCACATTGGTTTTTCATCAAAATTGGAATCTTTTTGGTATATACAACCACTCCATTAATTCCATACCAATCAGTCAAAGCCACAAAAGGAAACCATATAGGGAGGAAGGCAGGGAAGAAATAAAATCTATTTTACTTTTGTCATAAATAAAAAAAAAATAAAGAACCAACAAGAAAACAACTGAAGCGATTTTGACCTAAAGAGTCCCAATATCTGGTCCAACGGGTTGATATCTCTAAATATGGAAGCAAAATCACCATAAACAAGAAAGGTTTTTGAAAAAATGGAAAGTGCAGAAGTATTAGCAGAATAAGGATCAAACACAATCCATAGTCCGGCTAAATTCATTTCATGTTCATGACCAAAGAAAAATCACATAACAAGAGTCACAATTTCTGCGGAAGTATTAGCAGGATGCGGATCAACCAGAAGCCAGCGTCCAGCTAAATCCATTTCATGTTCATGTCCAAAGAAAAAGAAAGGAGTCACAATTTCTAGACCAGCAAGTAGATATCTCTAAAAATGGAAGCAGAATCACCGGGAACAAGCAAAGAAATTGATTTTTGACAGTTAAAAGAATGCAGAAGCATTAGCAAATCAACCAAAACCAAATGCCCATTTAAATCCATTTGAACTTCAAGTCAAACAAAAATCACATAAAAATCTATTCACTGTAAGAAGGAAAAAAAATTACCAAGTCTATGAAAGTCACAATCAGGAAGACTATTTATTTGCAGCAAACTAAGCTGGAACATGAGATCAATGACCACTAGAATCATTTAGCACTCTGCAAAGTTTAAAAAGGTAAAAACAAGATAACCGCAAGTAAAATCACATGAAATTTCCACCTTTTACTTATCCAAAACATAATTACACAAACAAGGTGACCACTTTCCCCACCATCCCATATCAAAATTCTAATCAATAAAATTCCTATACAAAACCTCAAAAAACAGATAACCAATAACACAAAGCTTCCCAATAACCAAACCAGACCAACTCAACAACAAAAAAAAAAGCCAACAAATCAGCCTATTATTAATCAAAAAGAGAAACGACCCATTTCATAGCTAACCACAACTAACTAAAAAACAATCAAAATTCAACAAAAGAAGCTTTTTTAGGAATTGGGTATCAAAGGTGAATCTAAATTATGGTCAATATATATTAAAGTAAAACTTTTTTAAAAAAAATTTAAACATATCCGAAAAAGGTATCAAAGAATCTTACTTGGAATGGTGTTGAAATCGAGAATGAATAAACCCCTGAGAAGTTGGTGATTGGATAGAAAAGCTGATGTTTTGCAGACGAAAATACCAGAGTACCAAAACAGAGAAGAAAACAGCACAGGAATGAAATATTCCTTCTTGATTAACACACGTGGTTGTCTTCTCGGTTTCAATAAAAGACACGAATTCTATTACAAGTCGGAAACGTACTCGTCTTTCTTTGTCTACCCTTACGGTTTCTCGTTTTCACAGATAATCCCTTATAATAATTCTTTTGACAATTCAAACCATGTAATTTCCTTCCAATTGCTGTGTTAATTTCAACCCATATATCTTATAATCTCATTAGGTTAAATTCTAATCTTTATATAACAGCATAAGAATGAAATTATTAGGTTTTATTTGTAAGAACGCTAAAATTATAAGAGGTATAATCAAAGTAGAGTTCATCATGTTTTACTTTTGGAAAAGATAAAAAAAATTATATTTAAGTATTTAATTTATTAATTAATGAATAATTTTTATTTAAAAGTAAAATTTGAATTTTTTTTCTTTCATTTATATAAAAAAATATATAAGAAAATGTTGATGGAGGGTGATGATGTGAGGGGGGGAATTTGGCTTGGTGGGTTGGGACTGTGGGTGACTACGAAAGGCTGCTAAAGAAAGAATGAATAGTCGGGAACCTTATATTAGTGGTTGCCTTTTGTTATGGGATACTCTTTTCTTGGTCAACTCGTTACCGCTTGCCAAAGCAGTTTTAACAATTGCTATAACTATCACACTTCGCATGGAAAGCAAACTTGGCCCACTTGGAATTTTTCATCGTACTTGACGTCAACTTGGCAAACTTGACAATAAATTTTTAGGGAAGTCGTGCTTAATTATATTTTTTAAATTTAAATTTATTAATTAAAAATTATATATTAAAAAAATTTATTTCTTTAAGATTGAGTATTGGATATTTTGATTCACATTACTTTTGTTCATGAGTTGAAGTATTAAGACTTGATGGCTAAGTGTAAGAGCGTACGATTTGTATCTTTTTTTTTTAAGAATTTGTTAATTGTTTTCAACTTACTTATACTTTAATCAAACTTGAAAAAAAAAATTCATGCATTCAACATCAAATATTCTTATTTTATTTCTATTTAAACTTATAATACTATATGTAAAACTATAATGCATAAAATATAAATAGTTAAATACGATATGCAAGATTAATAATTTCCTCTTATATAATTAAGATTATTTGAAAACTATATATTCAAGATAATTTTCTTTTAACTAAATATAAAAGGTAAAACATATAAAAAGATATATTCAAGATAATTTTTTCTTACATAATCAGGATTAATTAAAAAAATGATACATTGATAAAATTTTAAGCAAACACTATAACTTATATTTGTGAATTATATAATAATTTATTAATTTCTAAAGATTCAAATCATGAAAAATAAAATTCACCTAATAAAAAAAAATAAACATGACAAGTAGAAGATGGAACTCACATATGACATAACAAAAAAAAAAAGAATATGGTTGATGGTTTATATAAATATGAAGAAGCAAAAATATAGAAATTTAGAATATATAAGTAAATAGTATGACAAATATAAATTCAAAAAAAAAAATTAAAATTGTGTGAAACATGTGGGATATTTTTTGTTATTTTTATTTGTATTAATTATTAAATAAAAAATTATTGAGGGAGCCATTAAGAGAATACATTAAATATGAAAAAAGTTTAAAAATTTTGAGTGTCCATCCGCCCTGATTACCCTTCTATTGTTTTCGGTAATAACCAAAAAAAAAAAAAGTATAGATGGGTAAGACTGAAGCTTTTATGAATTGTTTACTTTCTCATCAAATGGCTACTTTGAGAAGGAAAGGATCTCATGCTGATCATCGGATCCTAGCCAGGGGAAAGTTAAGATTCATGGTATCTCTTGTCTTCAATTTGCAGATATGATTTAATGGATTAAGCAGTTTTGGAGAAAGGCAATGTCTTTTTTTGTTTTCTTTTGCTATATAGATTTCTTAACAGTTTTATTTTTAATCATGGTCACAACCAGTATCATAAATGTCAATGCTTACCTAGTTTGTTCCATGTGAAACTTGTTCTAAAGGTGGCTAGTTATGCTTATCTTTGTTTATTGATATAGTCCCCTTGATAGTAAAGCTGACAACATGACCTTTCAAGATGTTCCAGTTAAGATTTAGATCAGTTCGATTAATCTATTGTTCATTGTCGACCTACTTATGTTAGTTACTAGGAGATGCATTCCAGCAAAGATGGAGAATTTATTCAGCAAAAATGCTTGCATAGTGCCTTATAAGCTTTCATTGAGGGAGTTATGATTTAAAGTAGATTCTCTAAGAACTTATTTGGAGTCTGAACTTGATGTCTTTATGGCTTGCTTTAACTATTATGGTTTCTTTTATTATTACTGGAGGGTCTTGTGGCTACACTTTTAGAGAATAGGACCCTTTACAATGTATCTAGCTCTGTTACTCTTTGGTGCACAAAGGATTCGACTTCTCTACTGAGAAGAAGGAGAAAGGAGTTTCAATTGCTATTATCAAACAATATTTTCCTTCCAAGTACGCAACAAACAATATACATGCACTTTCCTTCAAGTGATAACAGTTTCCTTGATAAAATATATATGCTTCATCTAGCAAATCAAATACAGAACTAATTTTTCCTAATCACTCTGCTGCTCTTCAATTCATTTCTTCATTGCTGGATTTTCTTCGTCGCTTTGCTGCTCTTCTGTGGACATTTCACTCTCAGGCTGGGTAGAGATGTTCTCAAAGTTTAATACCAAATTTGAGGTTGATTCATCTGTGGACACTTCACTCTCAGCTTGGATAGAGGTGTTCTCAGAGTCTAACACCAAATTTGAGGATGGCTCTTCTGCTGGTGCTATTTCTTCCACCTGATAAAGCATGAATTTACTGTCAGACTTGATTAATTTTATTGTTGTACTTTTCTAAGAAAAGAAATCAGAGTTTAGTGACTATACTCACCTAAAGCATATGTTTATTCAAAAACTAAAATGTATGGTAGTCTAGATATTACATGCAAGTTTTTATTTGTTTATGAAACAGACAAATTATATATAGGAGATCATGGGCTAAACATCCCATATTAAGGAGCGCGCATTTGATGTGAGCGACAAATAATCTCTGATATTTTTCATAAAAGTAAACATGATCTTTTAGATGTCTTTTTTCTTTGCAAACATCATAAAAATAGTTTCTGAATCATCTTTTACGAAACAATCTCTAAGAGTGAAAGGGTGATATGACATTTAGATTTAATGAAATGTGGGATAGGGACACATTCCAAATGAAAATTGATTTGGCACAACACCCATCGATAGAAAGGCACACCAATACAAAGCTTATAACATTTCTAACATTGGAAATGCAGACCTCGTTTAGAGAATTCGTCCAACAGTGTGAAGAGATTTTGGCATTCGGTTCCAAAATAGAAAAGAGGATGCGGGTGAGACTTGGATTCTAGGGGTCGCCGCAAGGAATTGGCACATAAAAAATGGAGGCTGATGTGTCTACATTGCTGAAAATTATAGACGATGGAATCAGTACGGGTTGGACCAGGGCAGGCAAGACAGAATACGTCAAAGAAGTGATTATAAATTGGGTGCAAGGGTTGTTCCGGATGAAATGGGAGTGCCATCTCCCATGGAAATGGAAATCCAAGACAGGATTCATGAAGAGCATAACCACAACGAAAGCATCTATAACTTATCCCTGAAAGTGGTAAGAAGCAAATAGTGCACCAATCGCCTTTAAAGACTAGGCTAAAATTGGCGAAGGAAAGCTCGTGATCTTGATGGAAAAGGCACAACTTTGTCTTTGACTCTCTGGCCATCTCTTTTAGCCTTTGAACCTTAAGCTCTTTTAAAATAAAACATTTCAAATCCAGCTTGAAACCGCACAAATAGCAGACGTAGCCAAACCCAGCTGACATATCTCTGCATTCACCACAATAAAAATCCTTACCGTCATAGAGATGGAGAGGATGGTCGGGGTGAAGAGGATGAAACACTTCATAGGACAATTTGGCGCATTGATTGTGCAAGTAGTATTTGCAACGTTCACAGCCATAGGCTTGCCCACAAACCTCCAAATTGCAAGCCTTGCAGAGAACATCTTCAATTATCTCATAGTGGCTTAGGGGATGTCCATGAGTAAAATGTTCAATTTGCCTCTGAAAACAATAAAGAAAGGATAAAGTGAACATAATTATTTTCATTTTCAATACCGCTAAGTAATAACTTTTGTAATTAAGTATTCACAAATGGCAGGAAAAAGTAATAAAAATAAGAGAAAAATGACTAAATGGAAGGACTGTTAAAAATTATGAGTAGCCATGATTCATGTCTTATTTTGTTTAAGCATTATATATTACTTTGTCAGCCAAACTTACGCAATTGTGCTATTTAAAGGAAAAGTTATTGTGCTTAGAAAATGTTAAGGTGAACCAAAAAATAATAATAACAAAATTCAGATCTTAACATGGGTTATTTTGTTAAATCATTTTATAATAAGGAAACAAAAATTGAGGAAATTTAGAGAATAAGGGAGTGGACTTTGCCACCTGATAAAGAATCTTATCATTTTTGTTTTCAG